GTTGCTATGTGATGTCTACTGGTAAGAAAAAACAATACATATAGAAAGCAAAAAAGATCTACTCTCACTACTCTGACAAATGAGAAACACACCAGATGTTTGAACTTAGAAATGCTTCACATTTCTGAAATATCTATTGGGTTTATCCTAAGACCTGTGCCAGATTTTCTGATTTTACTCCCCAAACAAGCATCCATTTTGTGACATAAAATGAATCCAAATTCATCTGGCAGATTATTCGATGTGGGGGGCAACCTATCTTGAATCACCATCTTTTTTCTGAGAACTACAGAAATATTTTGAAATAACTAAAATATCATTTCATACACAAGGCCCAATAAACCATAACCCTAGAAATCAGCATCATTCACCAAAGCCTACCTTCAAAAACCAAGCACATCCTGAGTACACAGAATCCACCCCACCCCCACCCACGCCCCAATCTCCGAAAACAAAACAAAACAAAAAAACCCCAAAACACCTGTTAACCTTTGGTAGCTCTGATCATAGCCAAATCACAAAAGCACACTGTTCTATACTAAAAGGTGTCTTTATTGACGCCCGCCCCCAGGCAAGTTGAGGTATCCAGAAACCATCTGCACACCCTTCTGCCCAGGGCGGATTCAGGGGTCCGGATCCGAGGCTCCCCAAGTCAAGGAATCGCTGGCGGGGGTGGTGGTGATGGAAATGAGGCATCCCCTATCCACTTCTGCGCCCAGCAGGACCCTACCCCGAGCCCCAGGGGACGTACTGGGGATGGACATTGGGAACTAGGGCACAGACAGTGACCCTCAGGTTCCCGGGAATTGTAGGCGCTGGGGGTTGCGGGGGGGGGGAGTCTCACCACTGCCCTAGGCGACGGGCGCTTGGAGCTCGGCGAGGGCAGCTCGGGCGCGGGGAGGGGGCAGCTCTTACCCCGAGGTGGCCGGGTGCGGGCGGCAGGCGGCCCCGGTGGCTGCGGTAATCCATTAGGCTCGGCTGGGAGGCACCCACCCAGGGCAGCAGGCTCGGGCTCATGTTGCAGAATGAACCGGGTCGAAACCGCGCGGCTGCAGTCGCCTCCCAGAGCAGGCCGACGGACCCGGGCAGGCGGTGTCAGCCCGGGAGGGGGACTCGGCGCCCGGGGCTCCTTCCGGGCTCCCAGCCGGCTCCGGAGGCCGCGGCGGCGGGTGGCGGTGGGGTCCTGGCGGGAGCCGAGGCAGCTGCGGACCCCACGATCCCGCAGCCGACGACTGGAGCCCACCTCTGCAGAGACAAAGGTTAGAAAAAGAGGGGGTGAGGCTCTGGGAAAGCAGAATGCGGGGGCAAATTCGCCTGGGAAATCAGGAAAAAAGGCCGTGAAGGCGAGCGGCGCCTGCACATGACCAGCCGCAGCCAATGACGACCGCAAATAGGTCATAAAAAGGTCTATTACCAAGTTGTAAATTTTCTTCAAACAAAAAGGAATTTACTGCAATTCCTTGCGGATTTTGCACGTACAGCTCGCAAGCGCCATGTTTTCTCTCTCTCTCTCTCTCTCTCCCTCTCTCTCTCTCTCCTCTCTCTCTCTCTCTCTCTCTCTCCCTCTCCTCGCTTTCTCTCCACGCTCTTCCTCTCTTCCTCTCTCTCTCCTTCTCCCCTCACCTCTCCCTCTCCCTCCCTCCCTCTCTTCCTCCTACCCTCTCTCATACTCTCACATTCTCCTTTTTCTAGGAATTACTAGGGATTTTGTTTTTGTTTGGCTCAAACCTCCTGTGCAGTTGGCCGCCAGGCGGGAGGAAGACGAGTATAGGCGGTGCTCCGGATCCAGGGATGTCATCCCCGCAGCGTCTCCCCCACCCCGTTCCCACGTCTCCCCTACGTGGGTCACTAGGTTCTCCCCTCCCCTCCCTCACAAAACCGCTTGTCCTGAAGGGCAACCGCTTTATTTTTACTCGCTCATCTTGGGCAAGTCAATCCTAATATCTTGCTCAAAAAACCTGGGTTCTACAGGCCAAGAAAGCACTCTCCCTTCTCCCAGCGGCTCCAACATAAATTGGGGTCCCTCCCATTTCCTGGGGGATTTGTGAGGTAGAAGAGCAACCAACCAGCCCAAAGGCCCGAAATGGCTTTAAGTACTTGTCAACCCCTCCAAAATACCATTTTGAGCACCCATGCCTGGGTCTTTATCGCCCGAAACATACTCTTGGACAGCCCGGAGGTCGAGGGCGTTGGGGAAAAACCTTCCTGAATGCCCTTTGAAACCTTTCGCTCTAGAGCCTATGAACAATTTTTTAAGGGAATTTAATTATAGTTCTCTGTTCCCTTCTCCCCCCTCCCCCATGTTTGACCACTGGAAACTGTGCTGTGCACCTCAAAGCTAAGCCGCTGTCCTTTGCGTTACGTGAGCTCTGGTGAGCTCCAGACCTGAATATCTTTGGCACCTGAAAGACGTCCCCATGACCACTCTGCCCAGCCCTTTCACAGTCCATTCTAGCAAAATATTGAGTTAGATATGTTTGTGTAAGTTCTTTGCCAGAAACATCTTCACACCCAGTAACTGACTATGAACTTAGTTAAGCAGGAAATGGTACAGTATCCTCTTGGGCAGACCCTTTGTAGCCTATGAGAAAGTTCTGATGACCTTGGATAATTTTTATTAAAGGATTTCTGTGACTGTCAGCAAAAGTCTTATTTCTAGAAAAGGCCAGTGGGTCTAATTTTTCGGGTCTATTAAATGTTTTCTCTCTTTCTCTTTCTAACCCCTAGATGTTCAAGGATTCAACAAACACCAAGAAACAGAGGACACAAGCTCCGATGTGGAATCATGCACCGGATAAACAGTACTTTATTACAGAGGCAAATAAGCAGGTTGTCGGTCCTCCCAAATTCAGACTATTTCACACTAGTCTATACACCAAGTGAAGAGCTTGTTCAATTCTAAAAATTTCTGAGAACTAATCTCAATGTGCCTCTTTATCATCTCCCTTCTACCAAATAAAAGCAGTCTATCCCTCTCCTTTTCACCTTGGGGAATGAGAGACTGCACAGAAAAGGCAGCCATATTTGCACTTTGTCTGCAGTATAGAGAGTAAGCAATGTGTAGGGGGGTTTACAAAATGGTGTCCTTGAACTGACTTTTCTCTAAAAAGGATAGAGAACCACACCCTTTTTTTTTGTTTCTGGTCCTTGCAAATAGCCTAGGTCACACAGTTGGCTTTGATCTTTTAATCAATGTTAACATGGGGGGGAGTCTTTATTTTTCTCTGAACAGTGCAGACCTCCCTAAGCTTCCATTCTGTGCAGAAAGCTACATCTGGGTTTGCAAAAGGTTCTCTGAAGGTTTATGCAAATTTCTGCAGCAAAAAAAAAAAGTGTGTTGCTGCAATGCTTCACTGTTTACAGATCTGAGCCAATTAGAAAGGCATAGTGTGTGTTCTTCACCACTAGTTTGTCAACATGAGACACCATGGGGGGGTTAAGATGTCAAACCATAGTAAGAGAAGGGTAGTGTGTGTGTGTGTGTGTGTGTGAGAGAGAGAGAGAGAGAGAGAGAGAGAGAGAGAGAGATGAGAGAAAGGAGAAAGGGAAGGAGGAAGGGAAGGAGATACTCAGAAGGCAAAATAAAAGGGAAAGAAGAGAGAAGAGCATAGAAAGGGAGAGAGGAAAAGGAAGAGAGGTAATCCTCTTTATTGGGAAACAAATCTATGCTTTCTCAGTTGCAAAAGGAAACATACATGTTTATAACCAGCACTTTCTATATATGTGACTTTATGTATATGTACAAATGTATAATCTCAAAACACCAATTATCACAACATTCTATTGATGAGCTATGATCATATCACTGGAAGGTACATTTCCAGAGCAGTGTAGAGTGGCAGAATGTCACTCTACACTGCTCTGGAAAAAAGGTGACATTTTTACCTTATTTTCCCTTCCTTGATTTCTACATCCAACCCTGCAGTAGGTTCCTCACCTGAACTTTGCCAAATGCCACAGTTCTAAGTGACATTTGGGGAGCATTCTTGAGTTGGGGAAAGCAAGTTTTCAGAAAGATCCCTTAAATCAAAAGTAGCTGGAGTTTAGCCAGCAGTGGTCTTCGGGCAGTTTATATATATCTAAGGCTGTTCCCAGCTATGCTCCCAGCCTGAGGCATCCTTGCTCTGTTCCCAGCCAAGAGCAAAGTCTCAAAGCAGCACACAAGTGCAAAGCATTCCCAAATCCAGCAGCTGTCTCTTCAAATATTTAAGCCTTGGCCACTCTTGACTTAAACCGTCTTTCCTAGCTTAGGTTAACAAATGTCACAGCCACAGCCTCTTCCCTGGCTGGAAAGCCAGGTGCTGCTTTGCCTCTGATCTGGCCAACACCAGTCTTTTTCCTGTCCACAAGACATTAGGCAGACAGTCTACCAACACCTGGCAGTGAACCTGGCCCCAAACTAAAGAATCCTCTTTTCTTACTATCTGTGCAACGTAAACCACTCTGGGAATTTTTAAGAAAACCTTTCAAAGTAAATGTGGCTAGAAAAAGTGGAGCTTTCTCAGGGTCTGCCTTAAGGTGTTTCCATTTTTTCAGAGAGAAATGAGACTTGAATTTTTCCTTTTGTACTCCTCTTCTCCCTCCCCACCCACCTCCTGTAAAAAGGCAGCTGCAAGAGCAGCCCCAAATGGGAAATAGATATCTTGTTAATAATAGATGCCAACCCCAGCCTCAACTAGGACTGGAATAAAGCTGTGGCATAACCTGGACTCTGGGTCATCCCCCACTGGGCCTACAACTTGAATCCTTTGTGAAGTTCAAAGCTTTCACAGTATCTTACTGGGATTATTTAGTGCAAGCCATGGTAATGTACTCAGCCCACAACTGGAATGAGGCCCCCTTGCCAGCACTATATTATTATTATCATTCATCAGCTTGGGATATAACCAACACCCGCTTATCAAACAGAAGGCTTGAAGTCAGTGCTTTCAGTGTGAGCCCCGGTCATTGTGACTGGCGGGGAGGAGGTATTTTCGGAGCTCAAAGACATCAGCCCTATAAAGAGGTTCATTTCTTTATTGAGGAGCAGATGTTTACACTCAGAGTTTTCTGTGTTTGTACTCAGGGCTTGTTTCAAATAGGTGAGACCATTGCTTTCCTGAAGAACAGCAGAGGACGGACGTACCAATGGGCACCTGAGATGTACACAGTAAGCTGGCTTTAAAAGAGCATGCAAATAGTGCAAAGAGAATACAAACAAATATGGCACCTACTTGAAAAAGCCGAATCACAGTGGCAGCCCAGCACAGAGACCTAGAGATTTCAGGAGATTACAAGCGAGGTTCAAAACGAAAGCAAAGCATCTTGCCAATGAAAAAAGTTAATGAAAATGTTCTAATTGCTTTTTCAAATATTAATTCTCTAGATTATTTAATTGCATAATTTGTATGGACTACAGAAACATGACTAAATGTCAATTTCAACATTATCCTGAAACTCCCGTCACTGGCACAGCATTTTCTCAAAGATAAAGGAAGACCAAGAGCCAAGGCAATACATTACACTCCAGCTACCATGTGCTTTAAGAATATTTGGCCCAGACTTTTCCCTGACATACTACATTTACAAAATGCTCAAAGAAACCCTTTAGAAGTAAACCAAGGGCAGAAAGAAAAATATAAATAAAACATTTTAATCAAATAATATAAAGTAAATATTCTCCAGGCATAATTTTTTAAAAAATTAATAGACTTAATTTACTCACTATAAAGATTTTAAATGTTCAAGTGCACTTGTTTGATTAATAAAGCATTTCAGATTTAATTATTTAGTGCTAATCATTAGGAAATTTGTTGTTGAGGCAAATCACCAGCTCAGACATTAAAAACTACCATTATAAAAATATAGCTACAAGGTATCAAATTACTCTTCCATAGGACAGCTCAGGCTTCTATGACAAATTAGAAACTTTTAAAAAACACCCAAACCCCTCTCAAATCGCAGAAACCTCAAGAGCAGCAACATTAAGGTAGCTTGAAACACAGGTAAAGTCCTTTCCAAAAAAGAAAAGAAAAAAAAAAAAAAAGGTGGTGTCCACCAGCACACGCTGATCATTAGTTTTAATAGTCTGTGATAAAAATTTAAAAGGTAGAAGTTAATCTGTTGGGCCTTCAGCTCTGTCTTCCTCCAAATCCTGGACTTCCTCTTTGGTTTCCCCGTCCTTTGCCTCCTGCCGGGAAACGGGAAATTTGTCCTTGTTGTTTTCCTTTTTCCATTTCATTCTCCTGTTCTGGAACCATATTTTTACCTGTCTCTCCGTGAGGGCCAGGGCGTGGGAAACCTCGATTCTTCTCTTCCTGGTCAGATAAGGGTTAAAAAGGAATTCCTTTTCCAGCTCTAAGGTTTGGAAGCGACTGTAGGTTTGTCTTCCCCGTCGTCTACCAGGAGCTGCTGATTAAAATAAACAAAAAAGGGTGGGAGAAAATCAACGTTTGTAAAAAATTATTGGTGTCTCTGCACGTTGCTGGAGGTTTCTGGAATAGGCTCAAAGGGTAAACCACACAGCACTCTTTAATTCTGGTACATACAGGGTGTACGGACAACAGAAGCAGAGACAAAACCTTCGCAATTACCCTGTCCCTATCAGCTTTACATACTTTTAAAAAGTGTATTAGTTCATGAGCAAGAGCCACAGTGGTTACACAAGGAGGAAAAGGAGCGGAAGAGGGAAAGGACAGGGGAGTTTTAAAGCAAGAACGTGAGATGAAAGCAGATTCCCCCCCCCCCACTTTTTTTTTAAAATGCATCCCAACCTTGTGGTCTCATCCAGGGAAACATTTGAGAAGGAGACGAGCTCTGATTTAAGTGGTCTGGGTCCTCGCCAATATTACCACTGGACGATTTACAGTCAGGATATTGTACCAGCTCGGCCTCTTGCTGGGTCGTAAAAATCGGCTGTCTCTGTAAGTTATCGTATCCGTAAAACTTCGCTGGCTCCCGGTGACAGGCAATCCCGCCGCAGGGGGGAGGCGGCGGCGGAGGCGGAGGGTGCGGAGGAGGAGGTGGGGCGGCCTGGTAGGCAGCGGCCGGGCTGACCCCGCTGGGGTGGAAGTAGTCCTGGCTGGGGCCTGGGGCCGGGCCGCCCCCTCCGCCGCACCCGGGCGGCGGCGACCGGTGCGGGTGCGCGTGCGCCTGCGGGAAGCCAGCGGCGCTGTTGCCATAGAGCTGCAAGGCGGCGGCGTGGCGGCTGCTAACCTCGGGAGCGAAATGACAGTCGTAGTACGTGGGATTGATAGCCTCGCCCGCCGCCGCTGCTGCAGCCGCCGCGGCTGCGGCCGCCGCCTTGTACTTGGAGTACAGCGGGTTCACGAAGTACGAACTCATCCGGCCGGCGGCGGC